AGAGCAGCCAGCAATAGTAGCAATATCGGAGGCATCAATGGAACCAATAATTGTTAAAACAGATCGGTCCATTGGTAATCGTTTGAATCAGTAATGAAACCGTACTGCTTGCAAGTCTGCCAGCGCTTTCTTTACTAGTTTTTTTCACTTCTTAAATTTCACCTTATCATTTTGCTGTGCCTTTGCAAATTTCAGGTTCAAAATGGACGCCGTTTGCTTCACCACCATTTGAATTTCTTTCGGCTGAACCCTTACTTACAACTACTCCATCATCACTTAGTACGGTGATTTCGTGATCATTTTTACGGTTTTTCCATGTATTACTGAGATTAGTTTAGGTGAATTGTTGTTGTTGTTCAAGGGAAGCTACCTATTGTTTTTAATCTAGGGCCTTCCGAATTATAATTCCTCTTGGTACCAGAATTAATTTCATAAAAAATGACCAATATTTTCATAAAGGTTGATCAAGATTCAGCCGGAAGACTAGTACTTTGACCGCTACTTCCAGCAGCGCATTTGTAGGCAGTTCGTCTGCGATAACTGTTCGCAAATTCATTGCGACTCCGCTTATTCACTTGGAAATTTCATGACCACCGTAAAGTCCAGTGCTTTTAATAAAAGTTTCTTTTCGTCCCGCTCAGTTCTAACCAGAACTTCATTGCAGGTAATTTCGTTCTACGCGAAAATATGGTCGCTCCTGAATCATATAAAACTCCTCGAGATAAGGATGGTTCAGATATTTCCGTATCAATGTCTGATGCTCTGAAAAGCATTTTTGGTGAAATTGTACAAAAGTCTTCAACGGTGAAAAATGTTGCTCAACGAGAAGATATTCAACCTGGTTCTGTTAAACAGCGGCAAAACATTTCCACCGGCAACAAATCCAAAAGAGCACTTTCTGGAGTCGGGAGCCGAAATGTTTATGAATTACGGCTAAAAATAGCGCCTAATGTAAACATAATGGCGCCGAACTTTCATCGTGACCTTCTGCTGGCACTAAAAAATTTTGCTTTATTTTCTGATTCAAATAAACACAGGCAGTTGATTAGTGGAAGTTCGCCACTCATCAAGGTTGTTCCGTTATCGTTTCCGTTATCGTTTCTTTTTCTTCAGATTCGAACCCCCACTCATTGTTTACAGTTCTGGTTTACGGATAAATGCTTTTGTATGTTAACTTCTTTTCTTTGGATGACAAGTTTCCTAGATCACAAAAATGCAAAAGGACGGCGAATATTTGCGAGTGCAGTACTCGGTGGAGGACTCAAGTGGCGCAAATTGGCAAACAAGTGACTGTAGCGTCAATAAGGTCTGCTGCTTCCGTCAACTATCTGTCTAAGAACAAAAAAAAACTAGAATTTTGGAAATGAAACAAATCTTCTAACGTATTAGGCACTGGAATTGCTAGGGCATAAAAAACTGGTTAATTGAAATTAATAATACTAAAACTGAATGAATGAACTGGAGGTGACAAGTGACGTGATAGCTATATTCTATTAGTAGCGTACTGTAACGCAATGTTTTGTTCGCTAAAAATCTTCAGTGCTATTTCGTTAATATCATCGTACAAGTTTTACGAGCAATATGTGTGTTCGCATTATGTGCCAGCGATGCTTGTTCATTTTGTTTGGCACTGCTACGGTACATAGAAAGTTTCAATGCTTACTACGTCGATGAATAATTGGAATGAAATGCATGGAAAAACTGCAGGTTAATGGAAAACCTGGCTGTTCTAGTCCTCGAAAGAGTACTGTGGACAGCATCGAATGGATATTTTTTTTAATTGGCATCGTAGCTGCTGTGTTAATTCTTGTCGGCGCTTTTCTTGTACGAAACAAAAAGTGTGGCAAAACAATGGTAAGTTCTCATTTTTTGTCTCTGATGAAGTGTAGTTTACAGCAGTCGTATTCTTCTTACGAACTGAAGTAACTGAATCAAGAGCCGAATATGCTTGCAGTGAAAACTGGACCAGTTTGGGTGCATGCGCTTTGCGATCCAAATTAGCATCGCATTACCAAAACAGAACTGCATTTATCAGGACAAATTGCGTGGAATTGTTCACGACAAGCTCCTGATTTGCTGTAAAAGGGCTGCGTCTGCAGGGAAGTACATGCTTGACTTCCGCCGGAGTTTCTGCAGTGAGAAATTTGCATCTGCTTCTTCGGAGCAAAAACTCGAGCTACATGGAACTGCTTTCGGTAGAAGTTGAGCATGCGCTGCTGTGAGAATGCCAGCGGCTATGAACTCGAAATAGCCGTTTGACTGACACAGGGTAACGATGTCGCAAACCATATTCTCATGCACCGCTCTTTAAAAGCGAGTACTTATAGTGATCGGTCATTCTGTAATCAGTGGTTCGGACTTAGCATGGAAAAATTACTCCGTCTCTCACTAATCGATCTAATCGACAAGCTGGATGTTGACGCACTAGACTGTTGCCTCTTTCATTTTATTTTTCAAACGATTTTTGGAAGTTAAAATTTAAAAAAGCTACTGGCGGACGAAAAAAGGGTGTCTCGCGTGATGAATTAAATTGAGATACTTTTGACTGCTGACTTGATTTATGGCTTATGAACTGAACAGTGACTTCAATGAAAATTCTGTAAAAATTCTAGGATTATTCCTAAAAATGAAAATTTTACAGCGGGTTTCGCCGTCTCTGGACAGCTGCCTTTCAATTAGGAATTGATCGCGAAAAGTTACTCTTAAACCAGCTGGTTGCTGTTCGCGGTGAAGCGCTGATTATCATGGATATCTGATGGCTTTTTTTAGCGAATGTATTCAGTATGATATTCAAACTGTTGTGCTTCCTGTATATTTAATCAGTTTCAGCTCCCTGTTTAAGTAGTATTTGCAGATAGTAGGGAGCTCATCCGTTCACTTTTTAAATAGTTTTCCCACTTCTTCACAGGACGTTCGGTCTTTGAAAACTGGACGACCGCGGTTTTCATGAAGTGGTGAATAAATGTTTGAGAGTATTACATGTTCCGTGCCCTTCTTGTAAGCTCTACGCGATAGTATCGTGGCTTCTTCACAGTGCTTTACTCAAACAATCTCTTGCCTGTTTTCTTATTGTATTTGATGTTGCCATCTGCTCTTACACTTTGAAAACTCCACAAAGATCTCTTTTTGCTCCATCTGCTATTCCAGTATTCTCTGCTACAATTTGTGCATCTGTGTACTGCCTCAGTTTTTCTTTTTTCTTTAAACTTTCAGCATTTTTTGTAAATGTAGAAAATGTCTTGATGAGCGAAATCGGAAGTATGCAACATTTATTAATAATTAAAAGTGTCTTAAGGTGATGACAGAAGAAATTATAAACATCGACTTAAGTGCGTTACAAACCCACATCATCAAATGAAAGGAAACATTCTGGTTGTTTTACACCTTGACCCCGCTGGACCCATTATGCTTGCAAACAGAACCTATTAGGTAAAAAGATGCAAAAGGATGAGACAAGTCCTTTGGAAAAAGGTAGTGTCGTCGAAATCAACTTCCGGAACAAAAGGTGGAAGCGAATAGAAAATTACCGTTAACTAGATGCCATACGGGAAATTTTTTTTCAGAGCGTAGCGCAGGAGAGATGTATTGTAGAGATGAAGTGTCAGAAATTCAAAATCCCTTCGGTGTTTACATTCTAGAGAAGATGGAGGCGTTTCGAAACAGCCCGAGTGAAGGCAAGTACAACAGCAGCTACCTGCCGGTGGGGATTTCGAGCGCTCCCTTTTTATGTGTTTTTAATGTGTGACGCTATAGCGCTGTTACAGCGAGAAAAAACTCATACAGTTGAGAGAACGTCTGTGTATATATGTGTTCGGAAGCGAGTGAACTTTGTCGCCCACTTTCAACTCAGCAACCAGGGAAGCCAGGAGCCGAAATTTTAGGTACATATTCTCACCCCGTGTTTCATCCTCGCGTTTTAAAACCTACGCTCATACGTGCCTAGACTTCGCATACCGACCCCGGAAAAAATATGCAGATTTCTTCGGCGGGAAGCGATTTCGCGAACCAGGCAAGGTACAAAGCTGAAACTTTGCAGGGATATTCTCTGTGCACGTGCGAGTTAAAAATTTCAAATTCTGCTGTCGCGGACGCTTGTACAGCGCGTACAAACACCTTAGAGTTTGCACTTGGCATTGTGCTAACCCGAAAACTAGCTGGAAAACAATGGCTAAAATTTTGTCAACATATTTAGCGCCCATATGGGAAATCGTATACCTAATTGAATTCCGATTTGCACTTGCGCCATGATTTAGGGTACTTTAAAGATATTTTTAGCCTCCCAGCTTTCCTGGTTGCTGAGATGAAAGTGGGTGACAATATGCACTCGCTCCCGCACAAACGCACACACACACACACACACACGCACGCACACACACACAAACACAGCCTCTCAACAATATGCGTTTTAGCGCTGCACAGCAAAAACGCATAAAAAGCGAAAAAGCTGAAATTTTAAGGGGATGTTCTCTACCCACGTAAAACTTAAGATTAATTCAAGTTCAGTCCCTCCTTTCCCGAGACGCGTGGTAATCACGTACGGGCGCGTGAAAGTTCCACTTGGGAAAAGAAAAGTTGGAAACTGGAATTTTAGGCGAATGTCCCCTGCTCATATACGACTAAGAGATTTCAAATTCAGCTCTTCTCATGGATTCTTTTTTGCGCACCGGAAATTTCTGTCTGTCGGGTTACTTAAGCCGACATCGACAACGGACACGTCAAATAGCTGCGCAGTTAATTTCATGAACTTCGAGGACCAATATGTCACAAATTCTAGCTACTGTAATTCCAAGCGATCTTACTATAGCACGGAAGAGTAAAAAACACATAATCGCACCGGTCCGCCAGGTACACACCGCCAATGATTAATATTCCCAATACGCTTCACTATCATTTCATCTACTATTGAAATGGCGTTTAAAATGCAGCTTGAGCACAATAAGTATCCTTGCATCTGATATCAAATAATTTACAAAATAATTACTTTCAGCAAATACAGAATGATGGAAAAAATGATGCATGGATATGAGATCTTTTTCTTTGCAAGACCATTGCAAAGATGAGTACTGCAAATGCACACATCCAGTTTGCCTGAAAAGTGTTAGGTTCCTTCGATAATAACTAGTTTACTGAATAACGCACCCGGAAAACTTTCGAAAGAGCACTTTTTTTATTTCGATGCCTAAAAAAACAGTTCCACTGGCATCAGTACTACATGCATATAGAAATAAATTTTGGAAGCGTTGCAGTATCAACTTCCTCTCTGTTTCATTTCGAAATCGTTGAACTGAATGCTGTGCCAACACCTTTTGCAGAGAAAGGAATTGATAGAAGCTATGTTGAAATAGCTAAGGGAACGAATTCCAATTAATTGGCTGGCAAGACATTTTTCGTTACTCTAGTACATGAAGCAGAAGGAAGGGGCATGGGAAAAGCCGATGTTTCTCATCTAAACTATTTTATTGTCCAGCTTGGAATTGTACTTTGTAAATTAGATTGGGAAAACGGGAACCTGAACCAGTTACGCTTCGCGTCTGAATGACAGCAACGATCGCAAAACAAACAAGCTGTTACAGGAGATGAACAAAGGGACGGAACGAGCTTGGCAATAAATGCATCGAAAACGCAGGTTACGCGGTACTAGTCGGACTGATCATTGTTGTCACTACGCTAGTCTCCCAGTTTCCAGCCGCGAAGTAAAAAACAGGGGCAAATCGACAGACATACACAGAGGTGCTTGGGTTATTTTCATCAAGCCTGTTGTACATACGACCAGTATCATCGCTAGCGTCATGTTCTCACGCCAGCTGCCCGAATGATCTAGATAGTCTGGAAATCGTGTGGAAAACAACTTGAAAAAATGAACCTTTGTTGCTCTTTATTTGGGTACACTCCGAACGTACATTTTCGTTTCGAGGATGGAATATACAGCTTCTCCAGATATGGACTTCCCCTACAAGATATGTTACAACGTGTAAAGGCACGACAAGGCACATTTCACCTAACTGTTATACATTTCCTGCGCTTATAAAAAAGCATTTGTAATACATATAGATGAGGTCTTCTCTGTGTGTCTGTCGATTTGCCCCTGTTTTTAACTTCGCGGCTGGAAACTGGGAGACTAGCGTAGTGACAACAGTTATCAGTCAACTGATTTTACAGATCCTAACTGCAATCTTAAGTCTGCTTATTGTAATATTTTTGAACAGCAAAAATTTATAAAGCTAGGAAACTGAAATTTTGGCAGGTCAATCTCCGGATCAACAATGCTTTGTGCGCTGAAAAATGGTTTTCCTAACCCCTTGCTTTTGATTTAAATCTCAGATCATTTATGCTATTCCACCCATCTCGAGAATCATAAAGTTAAAAGATCAAACAACAGTACCAGTTCTTTTATCAGATTACATACATGACATCAGTTTTAAACAGCATGCATGCTTAAAATCTGCTTAAAAACCACTATCTACCAAACAAAACTGTGTGAAGAGCATATACTGGCTTTGGTTCTCTAGCTTTGTTTTATTTGGGTATTCTAAGGGTATTTTAATGATTGACTCCAGGAACGTTTCGAAGGATAGCGTTAAAAAAAGTTTGACTGGCTTGATAACTCGGGAATCGTACCATTATTTTCAGCGGCATAGGCCATCTTCATGCAGAGACCGTTTTCACAAGTTTGCTTTCTGATTCCGACTTCCATTTCACTATCCAGCTAAATTTTTATTTGTTCTATTTCAAAGGTTCAGTAATGCTAAAGAAATGAAGGATGATATCAGTAAAATTTAGGTTGCGCATTAAAAGGGCCATGAAGGCGCATGCAAGGCGATCAGCGTTCAACAGGCAGTTCACTAATCGAACGATAAGTCTTTAGTGCTTGAGAAAAGGGCGTGAGAAAGAAAGTTGAAAAAGCAAAAGAGAACAAAGTTGTGATGATCTCCACTTCCATTTGAGTAATTAAGCGGGATGTGTCATCTGCCTCATTCAAGTCTTGTAAAATCAACACATTGCCAAGTTTTCAGTAAATATCAAAAATGCTTACATCAAATTTGTCTGCACATTGTTTTAGTTGCGACGCAGAACGCATATTTTGAAGCCATTTGTTCCATTTCTGGTCCTGAACACCATTTAGAAATTCTTCTGCATTTATTGTTGTACAAACATAACATTCCATTATTGCCTGTTGTCCACAAACAATAGCTGCTGTTCGTAGCGATAACAAAATGGCGAACATCAAATTTAGACCACATGAAAATTTCATTTACTTAGTGAAAGTCATTTTTATGCGTTTTTGCTGTGCAGCGCTATAGCGCTGCTACAGCCAGCAACAAAGGCTGGAACGCACCAGGCGAGCCG